CATATCTTAATTCTTTCCCTTTGGTAAAATTCTCTTTAGTATACCTTGTAAGCTTTTCATAATAGGTCGGGAAAAGACTACCTTTACATTTGGTTAAGCCTTAATTCTGAGCTCATTTCTTGCTTTTCCCCCCTTTATTCTAAGAGTCCTTATTTTCTACTCTCATTTTCTTGACCCTGTTTGTTCACAAGTCCATGACCTTCTATACGCCTGGCATTCCCGTGGGGCCTTGGGGTGAAGACTAAGCCATGGCCCCTGCCCACAGGGAGTTTATGCTCACTTGAGAGGACACAGCATGTATCAGAATATCTGCACCGCAAGGTGGAATTATTATTTGGGGGCCTTGAGGAGACGACTGGTTGAGGAGAATGTACAGGTGAAGAGCAGGAAGGCGATGGGGTCAGTCCAGCTGGCAAAGGTTAGGTTGCATCTGGGAGAGTAGAAGGATACGGTTGAACTATGGGCTTGTGTCAGGTCGTACAAAGGCAGAGTTTGGACTCTGCACTTGGTGGTTTTGTGCAGGAAAGTGACATAAAGGGGGCTCTTTTCTGGCTCATGTGTGAGATATAAGTTGGAAGGGGAAACATTAGAGAAGGGAGCTCAAAGACTCACTGTTCTTTCATCAAACCAAATACTACTCTGTGCCTGCCACGTGCCAGACACTATGCTAGGAGCCAGGGACCCAACAGTGAGCAAGACATCATCACCCTGCTCTTGTCATCACCGCCTTACACTCCCATGCATGGTGGTGGCAGCAGCGGGTATATAGACAATACACACCTCATGGCATTTAAAGTCTCGTTAATATTCTAGCCTTCCGGGTCTGTGGCCACGACAGTGTTCGGTGCCCTATTAAATCCCTGTGCCTTTAAGGGAATGTCCCTTTGTCTTCACAGATCAGCCCTGTTGTTCCTGGGATACCCTCTCCCCTTTCGTTAGGATTCTTATTAAATTGTGAGTTTGCCCACAGATGCAGTTGAGAGATTCAGGCTTCCCCTTTGATAAATCCACTTCAGGAGCTGGCATACTGGAAGCAGCACCTTGAAATGACCAGATAAGGGGAGTGACCTGTGGAGTTGCGTAGATGCAGCTTGTCATTCGGTCATAACTTGAAATCGGTTCATGTCTTCTGGAGAACGATCTCTATTGGAGGAAGACAAAGGCTCTAGCACGATTCTGACTGAGGTGCAGTGGTTGGGGCGCTCTTTCAGGAAATCTTCCCTTTGTGAGCTGTCTGTGTTTGTGGCCCTAAGAGTGTCTACAGCTTACAAGTGATCTTTTTCTTTTTCTCTGGCCAGGAATCTTACGTCCTTTCTGCAGAACTTGGAGAAAAATGTGAAGCCATAGGCAAGAAGTTAATGCACTTGGAAGATCAGCTTCACACAGCGATCCATAGTCATGATGAAGATCTCATTCATATCCTTTTCCTCTTGCAGATCAAGCAGCTTTGAGGTTGTTTTGTAAAGAGAGTCTTTAAAAAAAAAAAACATGCAGTTTTTCCATGCCTCAAGCAGATGGAAACAAACACACACTGCCGTTATTTATAGTACAGCACACCTCGATCCCTGAGATTATCAAGTATGCAATGTTTAATGCCTAGCTTTTGGTAAGCAATTCAGTATTTTTCATTATTAAACCGCATCATCAAAAATTAGCCACGAAGTTCAGACACGCACACAATGAAGCCAAAGCACAGTGCGGTTTTCAGTGGGTGTAACCAGCTCTTCTTCACCAGTTGTCCTGGTGAAGAAAACATTTTCCTAGTGCAGTTTTCTATGAGCTGTTTTAACAGCATGAGACCCAAATACATCTTCGAAGTTCTTTATCTAACAGTTCTGCCTAATAACAGGTAGTAGAGTGTCAAAATTAACAGGACTTTGGATCATTCCTTTGCAGTTTCTAACCACGTACACATGGTTGAGCTCAATCTAGTCCTTTATGATTTCTAATGATAGGATTTTCTTGCACCAGATTCAATATCCTGGTGTCACACCTGCAAACACCTTCATCAAAACCAGTTGCTGGTGAGCAAGATGGTGCGAGAACATCCTGGCTTTGGTGTGCGTCCTCGTGAACCACTCTATCCCATGTTGATCTGTGGGTGCAGCTAGTTTGTCACTAACCAGTGGCAGTTAGTGTCACTGGTTAGTGACAAACTCTGAGAGCCGACAGATGGGTGTGCTGAGCGATGAAGGGATAGGCAGCCCCATTCTGTATCTTTTTAGTTATTTAATCACAAGCTGACACTTCTCTAGCAAAAAACATTTCTCTGTTCATTCATTCTTTCTATTCCGTAGCATGACTTTGATTAGACGTGTTTTTGGGAAATGTCGCTATTTTGGCCTTTGCTTCTCAGTGCTCTCCTACTCTGCAGAATGCCAGTTCTTACCATCCTTTATGTTGTGTGTGTGTGCTTAAAGTAGCTTTAAACGGTCAAGGATTAATCTTAATTGCCAGTATTCAGATCCATGGCTTAATAATAGTGGATTGATGCTGTGTTTCTTTCCTTGTTAGAACTTTGAATTTTTGACCTCACTTATTAAACTTAGAGGAAATTTCTTCAACTTAATCAGCGATGATTTTCACATTGCTCAAGGTAGATTTTTCAAAGCAGACATTCTGTGTTTCATAATTTCCTGCCTCTTGCAAAACTAGTATTTAAGCTATTATTAGAAAGTTTCCCTAAGAAGCAATAGAAGGATGGCATTTTCGTCTATTCTGTGTTCATGGGGTAACACAGATTTGGGCACTTCTAAGGGGGCATGGCGTCCAGTAAATGGGCAAGTGGTGGGGCACAGAAGAGCAACCCACTGCAGACAGCCACGCCGTGGGGAGGAATGCCTGTCTCTAGCCCACCAGGTGGGGTGGTTCCTGACGTACCTGGGGCACATGTGGGTTCAGGTAGCAGTTATGAGAGCTGCAGCTGCAGTCAGGGTCTGTGTTTGTTGGTCTCTTGTTTTGGAAATTTTTTACATTGTTAGTTTGATTTTAGGGAATTGAGTCTTTCTCTTACTAGAGCTGGGAAGGGCCCGCTGTGTTTAAATAAAACCCTTTTAGTTTTTGCAAACCAGATCCAGCAGCAGTGGGATCACAGACAAGTGATAAAGCCTCTTTAAGCATGAGGGTCCTCATCTATAACATCGGGATAGTCATACATGCCTCTGAGGTTTTTATGGCTGTTAAATGAGGCTATCACTATATTCACAGTGTACGTTTAAGTCACATTCCCTATATGTATTAAGTGCTTGGTTTTAGGTAGAAAACTATGTTGTCCAAGTCCATCTGTCTCACAGTTCTCAGTGTCTTTGTCACCGGCTCAAACTACGTCCCATTTATACATCCAAAGTTTCAAGGTAGGTTGATTCAGCTATTCTGCCATAAATGCTTGAAGGAATCCATCAGTAACTCCACCATGGCTTATATAAAAAGTCATTAAATTCTAATAAAACTTCTATAAATAGTTAGGGACTATTATCCCTACTTGACAGTTGAGAAAACCAAGGCTGGAATTACTTGGCTGGTCCAAGGTCCTTTCTGACAAGTGGCAGAAGCTTCCAACCCTTTGGTCCTCCTTGGCCCGTCAGGAGGCAGCTATGCCTATAAGTGAAAGGACAGGTCTGTTCCATGGAGCATACAGTAACTTTAAAATTTTAAGCTATAATATAAGTATTTTATTGAAGTTATGTTTTTGAGAATTTTGCTGATCCTTGCTGCAAGAAGAGAAGACATCCTGGGGAAATGTCAAACCAGGGAAGCGCTGGTTTAGGTACTGACATCAGCTCTCTCCATCCCTCCAATAAAATCTACATCACCATCCGTGTTTCAACCCAGACTTTTCTCTGAAGCGCAGGCTTTGTTCTGTATCACTGATTGAGAATAAATACACAGGAGGTGTCTTTGAACTCATACAAAGTGGCACTTAGATTTGAGTGGAACATTCCGCCCTAAGATAGAAAGGCATATTTACAAAGCTCCCTACACAAACAAAAGCTGTTGTTTCAAATTAGAACTTATCTAGAGATTCAAAGAGGCTGCCAGAATCTTCCAGCCAAACTCTGACTGGTTTGTATTTCCATTTCTGATCAAAGATACAATGCTGAGTATGGTTAAAAGAAACAGCTTGCCGTCGACTAAATGAAAGAATTGCACAGTGAGCGCAGTATTTTGTTCGATTCCACTGAGCATGCTACCAGAGCCTACCGAGCAAACGAGGTAGAGGGCAGCTGATTAATCTAAGTCCATACTGGAATGTGATTGACGTAAGCCCACATTGGACATCCGTGTCCAGAAGATTCAAGCCCTGGATGCTATGATGGATGTTCCTTCTCCACGTGGAAGGACTGAGCCTTTGCCTAAGCCATGTGTGGGCATAAACACTGTTAGTGCAGCATCCACAGGGGCTAGGGATGGGTGGTGGGATTGAGTTTCCAAACAGGGCCTCATGGCATCCTGACTTAATATCCTAGTTTTGGGCAGCCTGCCGGGCGTCCTCTACTTTTACAAAGAAGATATGGGATTGACAAATCCAGAGAGGGGGAGAAAGGAGCCTGTGCCTCTCCATCATCCTGACGGGCTCACTCAATTACACGTAACATGACCAAGTGACAACCCAAACTCATCAGCTACTACAGTGGTGGGTGCCTGAAAACAGTCTGCACCATTAACTGGGAGAGCTGGTGGCAGAGAGGTGGCTCTCGCCCCGTGTCTGAGAGGAGAGGACAGGAGGTGTGACTTCACAGCCAGGCAAGCCGGGATTTCTGGGAGCATTAGTCTGGGTCTGTAATACTATGTCACAGTCATTTGGGGCCCTAATCAGCAGTTATGTTTTAAAAAACATTCTGAGTGTGTGTAATGGCGCCTCCACGTTCAGAATGCTTTAACCCAAAACTTTCCAGGTTAGGTGGATTTTTAAACAGGGATTTTCTCATTTGTTTGTTCTCCTTCAACTTCCACAACACACTTTCAAAGGAAAAGAAGTGCACCTGGGATTTGCACATTTTTGGCATATTTCAAAGCCCCCAGGGAAATTCCGCCTGCCTCTGAGTCATAGATGAGACGGGCACACACTGATTCCATTTGCGCTTGTGTTTACATCCATGTCCGGGAAGCCTGTTTGGAATTCTGTCCTGTTTATTTGGCATGTGTGGTGCCCAACTGATTAGTTTTGGTGGTGGCATGCAAATACCCTAAATATATCCAGGCTCATGTGTGCACGAACTCCACAGCTCTGTAAGGCCCCTTGTTTGGTTCAACCTTCAAATTCATAGCTTGAACAGACAAAGGTACTGGAAGTTTGGGGAGATTGCTCTGTATTTCTTGGAAATGTTTTCAACTTCTAGAGTTGAGAAGCTGGAAAAGGGGCCATGAGTCTTGTGAAGGTCCACCAACATATTTCATAAATAAGAAAATCGAGAGCCCTAAGAGGTTGGTGCTCATAGCTTCGTGCAAGCTGGGCAGATGCAGGTATGGATGGCTGTGTCTCTTTCCTTTGGCTTCCACTTAGGCTTTGCAGAGGGAAAAGGGAGAGTTGGAGCTCCACAGTACAGGGAGAGGATGCAGCCACGGGGCTGTCCTGCTGCTGACTCAGTGTAGTGTGGTATTAGCACGAAGTAGGCAACACAAAAAGTTCCCCCGTGCAAGCATCAAATCCTTTGAATCAGGTCTTGTGTGTAGGCAAGGTTTTCATCTTTGCTCTTAAAAGACTGTGACCTTCACCTCTGGCTTTTCCATGAAGATAAATTCTCCAGTACAATAGGTTATAGTGGCTGCAGAGTCACTTCTTAAAATGCTTGTAAGAAGAAATAATGTGGCCAGTGAGAAGCAGTTCCAAAGGATGTGCAGGTTGAGTATCCCTTATTCAAAATGCTTGGAACCAGAAGTATTTTGGATTTCAGATTTTTCCAGACTGTGGAATATTTGCATTATCCTTACATAACAAATCCCCAAATCCCAAATCTAAAATGTTCCAATGAGCATTTTTTTGTTTGTTTGTTTGTTTTTTGAGCGTCGTGTCAGTGCTCAACAAGTTTCAGATTTTGGAGCATTTTGGATTTCAGATTTTTGGATTTGGGATGCTCAACTTGTACTATTGTTTCTTTTGGAATCAAATTAGGTCAAATGACCTGAACTCCTACTTTTGACTAAGCCATCAAAATGATCACTTGGATTGAGAGTAAAACACTCAATTGTTTTTGTATAAAAACAAAAGACCCCATTGAAAGAGATCCTGGATCTTTTGCAAATGGCTTCCCTGAATGACAATATTGACTTACCACTGTCTTCCTGGGTGCAAGTGTCTTGCTAGTTAGTCTCACTCCTTTACTAATTGCAAACACAGAAATTTTAGCAGGTTGTGCACTGATCTAATATGTGGCTAGTCTATCCCAAGGCAGTAAAGAATAGCCTTGGGTTCCAAAGGTGTTTTAAAGATGTTAGGATGTCAATCCCTGTGACATTATTATAATTAATCTGCTGATTTTCTTAGATACCGCAGACACCTGGTGGCATATCCACTACAAGGGAACAGAGACTTAGCCACTCAGGTTCCTAAGACACAAGCATCATAAGAATTATTCAGATCCTTTGAGACCTATTTTTACACTTAGATGGAGTGAGCACCTCTATTCCAGGTGCCTAAAATTCCAATACTAGAGTTTTATTAATACTTTATTCAGCCCTTTGACAAAAATCAAGGTCAAATATGTCCATGGGTTTCAACTATGAGCTTATTGGATTAGCAATCAGATAATCTGCTTCTAGCTCTACTCACTACTTAACCTTAAGATCTTGGTTAGCTTTATCAAATGGGACAGTTTATTTTTCTGTAAGTCAACAGAGAAAATGTTGTGAAACATTTTTTCAAATATTTGGTCCAGTATGAATGCCCGACGACTCATGTCTATTTCCTACTCAGCATGTCCCCTTGGCTAATAGGCTTCTCCAACTTACCATGTTCAAATGCAATTCTCAGCCCATGCCCCCACTCCCCAAAAGAAACTCAAACTACCCTTTCCCAATTTTCTCCTCCTCAATAAACTGCAATCTGTTTTTCTAGTTCTTTGCTCAGATCAAAAATCAGGGAGTTATTCTTGATGCCTTTTCCATCTTCTCATATTCCACATCCAGTCTATGGTCACATGCTGTTGGCTGTATCTCTGAAACACAACCAGACTCCGGCGCCCTCTCTCACCTCCACTGCCAATGCCCTGTCTAAGCCATGACTGTTTCTTTCCCGAAAGATTGAAGTAGCCTCCTAGTTGGTCTTTCTGTGCTTCTGATCCTACCCACTTAAACCCATTCTAAGCACAGGAGCCATATTGATGACACCACCCCTCTGCTCTAAGTCCTCTTGTGGTCCCTATCCCACTTCGAACACTTAGCCCTGCCGGACAGACTGTCCACATGCCTGTGTGTGCTTATTTTCTGCTGTACTCACAGGTGTCTAAACCCCATGATGGTAGGAACTTTGGTTCATTCCTATACTGCTGTGTTCATAACATTTCTTAATGCGCAGTAGGAGCTCAGGAAACACTTGAATATTTGAATGACTGAAAGAAAGAATGAGAATCTCTGTCTGCACTTCCATTTCTCTCCCTGCTCAGTGGAGAAATGTTTCATGTGTCTTCTTTTATGAACATATTGATTTAAATATGAAAGTAATGCACATCCTTTGTGACTATCTCAGAAGTATGGAAAATATTAATGGAAAAGCTGTGTTTCCCTCCCACTGCCATTACCTAGAGGCCACTACTCTGTGCTCCTAAATCATTTTTTCTAGCAGTGAATGGCTTATCTCTGTGGTCTTCATTTGCAAAATTAGGATCGTTCCAATTGTTCTGCAACTTGCTTTTTTTTTTCCCTCTCTGCATTTTATCCCAGACACGCTTTCATTTCAGTACATCCAAAATGTTTTGGAACTCACATTTAGTAAGGAATCATATAGGCAGGTTGGTTAAAGAAAACTATTTTGTAAATAAAAACATGATTTTAATTATTTTAATGATTATTACCCCACAGGCTCATTAAATGAGGTTTCCAGCATTTCTGATGTCAGACAGAGCCTAAGGTGTTTGTTACATCTGTTACATTGAGAAATAAACCTTAAATCTCATGGCACCTCACAAAAAGCACTATACTCTCACAAGCAAAATATATTTCATTGAACTCTAACCCTATGAAGAAGGTATGAGATTCTATATTTTACAAGTGGGACAATTAAGCATTGAATGATTTTCCCAGCTTCCCATAGCTGGGGAGTTGTATCCTCAAATCCCAGTTTTCTGACTCTTCTGTGTGTTAGTTGAGGTTGTTTTAAGAGGAACTGATGTGTTAATTTTGTTATATAACTTCATCTTTTATAGCCTCTCTCCCCCCCACCTTTTTTTTTTTTTTAACTTTTTCAGTTTTTGCTGCCAATGCCAGACGTTTTATGAGTTTTTTAAGAAGCATCACATTTTGGTTCAATTTCTCTCTCTAAAAACCTCTGTCATCATTTACCATATTATAAATAATGGCATGTAGTCCCAGGCTGCATATCAAAGGTAATTAAATCTCAGGAGTTTGTCAGGATTTATAAACTACTTAAACTCTGTGCTTGCTCTTTATAAATGTAGCATAACGTTGTGATTAAATTCCAGCTTGGTATTCAGTCTGGGACCACTTATGCTTTTGCTTGTATAAAGTCGTATGTGTTTTCACTAAAGGTTAGCAGAGCTGTCCAAAAAAAATTGGAGGCAAACAAAACCTCTTAAGAAAGGGAAAAAAAGGCAACTATTGGATTCTTTACTCCCTTACACCACCTCCAGCCAGCCTTCATTCCCCTTAAGATCAAGTGCAAGGAGGGAAACGTCATAGTAAATACGGCTGAATTATACAAATGACGAAGTCTGGTAAAGCTCAGAGGATGAAAAACTGCCAGGAGTTTTTCAGGGTGGTTCAGCATTTCTGCTTAGGAGAGGTTCATTTGCATAATTCCCAGGATCCTCTAGAATTCTTTTTTCAAAAAAGAAAGGGAAAGCTTTCTACAGTCATGACCTAAGGGTATCTCTTTTTCTTGACATTGCATTGACGTTGCACATAGAAAAAACAACACTGGAGCGTAGGTGGCCTATGAGCATTCAGATCTCTGCAAGCTACCTTACCCAAATCTCTCTGTCCCCTCTGTTCTCTCCATAGCTGGTCTACTAATATTAGAGTGGTCTAACCTCATGTGATGATTTCACCACAAATGGAGTCAATATATTTCTTCTTTTCTCCTTGGTCCCTGTTAGATGAGGTTGAATTAGTTTGCTTGTTAAACCCGTCTGCCACCTTCTATTTACCTTAGTGTTGTTCTGACTGCTTGTACACAGGGAAAGGGCAGAGGGACCTGACGACGCATGAACAGAAAAACCTTTGCTAGTTAAACCTTCCCCTGCTTGAACACCCAGAAAAGAATCCATTCTCTTCAGAGAATGACAACTTTATCTATTTCAGATTATATTTGTTAAGTTCTTTGAGATTTGCATGCTCTATGTGTGAAACAACTTTACAGGTTAGGAATTTAGAACCCAGCAGTTTAAGGCAAAGCAAGCCTTAAACTTGCTTTAGAGAAGGGAAGCTCCCTGCACACCTTCAAATCTTGAGTGGCCTTCCTAGTACCCAGGACTATGCTAACAGATGACAGCAGGCTAAAGTCTGGAGGGGTTTCGAAGTCATCATTTCATGAGAAAACTGAGGTTCAGAGTGGTTTGCACAGGTGACAAGACTGGTTAGCGGTGAACAAGGAGCGTAATTCATGCCTCTCAGTCCAGTCCTGTGTGTTTCTCTGTACTTACGGTGAGCCCAAATCCTGGATTTCTTGAATTCTGCTCTTTCTGCTATCAGAGTACTTAGACCTGACAGTTGCCTCAGCCCAGCTTGGGGCTTCACGGGAATGACAGTCACACTAACCTTCTACCATTGAGCATCCCAGTCGGCCATCTGTTTCATCTAAGAGCTGACTCTCTTCCTTTCTGAAACCTTACTTGAGATAGTTAATACCTCAGGCCTTATAGAAATTGCAATCGCTCTTAAAAGAAGAAGTATAAAATTCATATTAATATTTAATTTCTACAATTTGGAAGAACTTGACACTGCAATTAGATGGCAGTGCCCATCTGCTGCCAGCAGGCCTGCTTGCTTGCATTAGACCCCTTGGAGGCTGCGGAAGGCTGCGATCACCTTCGGCTGTGTCCCTTAACCACGCGCCCACAGTCTCTCAAGAGGGAGCTCCAGATGGTGAAGGAAACTCTTCAGGCCCTGAGCCTGCAGCTCCAGCCAGCAAAGGAGGTGGGAGACAGGGAGGCTGCAGCTTCCTGTGTGACAGCTGGTGTCCGGGAAGCACAGGCCTGAGGCATGCTGGGATGGGGAAGGAGTGGGCCGCCACGTCATCAGTGTGGACACAGGGGGCTGCTCCCCCTCCTCCATGTCACCGATGAGACTGAATCAATTACAGAGATGCAGAGCCTTGAGGTCTTCCAGCGGAAAGATGGTCCCTGTTCGTTCTCGTGAGGCTGAGATCAGGGCGTCTGCAAATTGGAATATGGAGAAGGGAGAACGATTTGCTGAATTTTCTTCTAAATGTCACACAGAGATTTCTTTTCCCTGTCATTTGTGGGAGTATCCTGCACGGGATTTGAAAATCTTTCTATCTCAGCCCCCATTAGAGAGAAGTTGGGATGAATTCCCTGGAAAAAATGTCTCCTTTTCCTATACCATTTTGCTTTCTGCTGCAACTAAAATATTTCCTGGTTCAAGAACCTATAAAAAGGAAACCAAGCAGAAGACTGTCACCATACCTGTTACACTGTCCTACGGGCACATGATCTAAGAAAGCTAATTAACCCCACATTCTGGAATTAACAGCCTTTCACCTTATTTCTCCTGTAATCTAATGTCGTATCAGAGAAATCGATGTGTAGCTTGCAAAAATATTTTGTTAAGGCAACAGCCCCTCAGTTTTCCTTTTGTTGCAATTACTATATGTACAGAAAGGATCTCTGAGAGTCTCTGTTTCATCAGAACATTCTGGAATTGACCTACAGTGAGGGTGTGGATGGATCAGGAGACTTGTATAAACCTCTTGAGCCTCTCCTGTTTTCCTGTGGAATCTCTTTCACTCAGTGCCAGGTAGTGCAGCACCCAGCGAAGCAGAGCAGTACTCAGGAACACCATGCAGTGCTCGGTAGGGCAGCGCAGCGCTCTCTAGGGCAGTGCAGCACTCAGTAAGGCAGAGCAGCACTTAATAATTCAGGAGCATCGCAGACCCCTGCTGGGCTGCTCCTTTGGCCTAGCTGGACCTAGCTGTTAAGACAGCTGCAAAACAGGCTGAGTTCAATTAGACAGCATTTCCCAAAGTGCATGGAGGAAGGCGGCCCCAAGAGATGCTCCACAAACAAACGGGTCACCTTTATGGTCAAGTAGCTTTGGTAAACATACCATGCCATGATGTCTACTTGGAGAGCCACAACGTGTGCTAATATAGTAGTCTGTGAGATAGCCTGTACTAAAGAAACCCGTTTGATTTTGTCCAACCCCAAATTTCCCAAGTTTAATGGATCATCCATTTTTTTTTTCATGTAGATCCTATTTGTATCCTGCTGATGTAGTGTTGTACAGCACTGCATTCTCTGGGGAGGTCCTAGTCCAAACACTGATTTATATCATTTCGATATATGTGTTGGAGACCAAACTCAAACTTTTGCAGTGTGTTGAACTTAATAACTACCTGCCATGGTTTTGGAAATTTAATAGAGTCATTGTTCTTTTTGTGCTTTGTTTGTTTGTTTGTTTGTTTTCTGTTCTCATTCATGTGTATAGGGATAATGATCTTCCTGCCTTCATTAGGATCCATGGACATGAGACCATTTTTGTCATTTCCTGAAGTCACACTGCTGTTTCTGGAAGGCATCTGGTGCTTTGCTAAGCCTTCGGTGCTGAGCAGTTCTTCTGTCCTCAGTCGAGGAGATGCCCCTGCCTAAGTCAGCAACTGGCCAGGGTCCAGGAAGCAAAGCAAAGGCACAATATGTGAATTTGCTGATTGTGTTCCCTGTGGTCTTATCTTTGAGAGTTTTTGAAAATATACTCTACATATTTTAATAGCAAGTGCAATTAGTTTGGTTTTTTCAATGATGGACCAAATTCCTGAATTATTTATGATTGTGTCTAAAAACAGTTATGAACTAGTGTCACATGGCTCTTGGAATCCTTGAATGAATTCCAGTGAAGCAAAAGTTGGGAAGAGTCAGGATTGACCATATTATCGATAATAAATTCCTACTTTGACATATGTCTTTTTAAAAAGCCTCCTAGACATAAAACATCTTAACAGTCACTACCCAAATGTTTTGTATTACTCAGACACCATCATGAAATTATTCTGTGAGGTCATGATGCATTTGAAAATTCCGTAAGTTAATAACTGCTTTGAATGTGCCCAAAATGAGAGTTTTTTGGTACCTCCGGTGGACAGCATGTTCATTTCCTTGCCGAGACACCTGACCAAATTCAAGTATTGGAGCAGGTGAGTAATGTTTTAACCATTTTTATTGTTGTTGTTTGCTCAGTGGGAAGGAACCCTTATCTGTAACATATCTCTAGTCTTTGCTTGGTCTTAGGGTGTCATCCAGGAAACGTGGTAAAGGCCAGGGTGTTTCCTCTGGCTACACAACCTTCTCAGGACAACCCCACTCTCTAAAGCCACTTCGTCCCTGGAAGACCCAGGGCCATTTATTCCTAACCATACTATAGCGCAGTTTTTGTCAGGGCAGCATAAACATATCCAGGAGAGGTTAGAGCTTGAATTTAAAAGTGACAAAACAACAACAATAAAAATGTATGTTGTTATGGAAACAGCCAAGACCACAAGCAAAAGCACATATTGAAAATGATGACTTAGAATCTGATTTCACTGTGACATGGTATAAGCTCACCTTGCTGGAATGCTGGCCTGCACGTGGTCACCCATTTCTCTTTCACTGGCCTGAATTAGGACATGGTTTCCTTCAGTAACAGTCCCAGTTCCTTCCAACATCCTGAAATTTCAAGATTGAACTGATCCTTCTCCAAATCAAACTAGTTTGTAGCTTTGGAAACTTGTCTTCCTCTGCAGTACGGCTGGTTTCCCTGCCCCAGAAACATGTAAGGGTCAGTCCCATGCTAAGCCCTTTACAATCATGATGTCCTATAATCCCCATATCAACCTTATGAGGGAGGTGTTTGTAGGTGATGCAACTGAGCCTTAGGAAGACTAATTCCCTTTCCCCACGGGACAGAGCTGGTAAGACATGGAGTGAGAGTAAACCTAACAGAGAGAGGCAGCATGCTGTTAACTAACGCTCTTCCTAAAGTTCTTTTAATGTGCTTTTGGAGCTTTGAGCCATGGAACTCATTTGTTCACCTCGTTAAGAATGCATGGCCACCTTGGTAATCCTAGCTGGAGAGTCAGCAAAACTGAGCCTAGGACAAGCGAGGCTTCCCACACCCCCAGGTGCCTCACTGTGAAGTCTAGACTCAGACAGCCTTCAACAAACCTGTCGCCCCACCATGGTCCTAACCTAACCATTCCCCAGTCTTCCCGGGAACAACCACTCACAGCCTGACACTGGACAGATTTTCTTGAAGATCCCTATCAAAGTGCTGTCTTCCAAAAAGCATTTGAGTACTATGAATTCTGTGCTGTGGAGAAAAGCAAAGATGCCCTCATTGGGCAATGCCTCAATCTTGTATATATAGTTCAATACTTTTAATATCCTCACCTTTTCTAATCTTTGAATTTTGTCATATAATTTATTGCTTTGTTAAGTTTACTTTTTGTTACTCAAAATTAAAACTTATATCCAAGCCATGGTGCACTTTGATTTTTTTGTCTTCTGGAGTATGGATGATAGGAAAATGTATCAGGTTTATTCATTGTATTTTTCTATGATAGGGTGATTAATTGTACAATTACTTGCATGACACAAAACATTTGTAATAAAGTTATGCTTTAAAATTGTGCATGTGTTTGCTTTCGGATATCAACAAATCCAAAAACCATGGGATTTTCTATTCCAAATTCCTTGATTGAGGAAATTAAAAATAGCATTATGACTAAAGTGGGAAACAGAATAAGAGTGCCCACTAACACTACGGAAAATATTTTACTGCAGATACTAGCTAATTCAGTTAGGCAAGAAAAATATATGAGGGTTACAATTTGGAAGGGAGGAGATACAACTTTAATATTTATAGATGATGTCATTGTAAAGTAGAAGACCTAAGAGAATTAGCAGCAAATCTTTTACATGATTAACATAATTAATGGACTAAAATCAACAGGTTTTTGGTATGCAAACAATAATCAGAAGCTGGAGTATAAGAAAAGA